TTTTGAGATATGAGAAATATACAATAAGATAACATGCCGGATGCCTACTTTGGTGCAAGGCAAGCTGCTGGGTTAAGACAAGAGGGAGGCATTATGGGATTGCTGTCAATGTGTTAGGCTTTAGACATGAAGATAAATTTTTGTGTGCCGTGCTGATTGCTAAGCATGTAAGACGTGTGACCTCTTCTTCCGAGTGCTTTGGGTCAAGCCATGAGGTGTCTGGGTCACTAATAGGGCAAGCAGGCAAAAATAGAGACAAATTGTGAACTTGTGTTTCCTGGAGTCTGCTGAGATCAGAAATAACTGGCTGAGGTTAAGAGAGACAGAGGTGATGAAAGAAGGGCACAAGTTGAATAGAAAATGATTGTTGCAAAAGGAGGAAGTCATACTATTTATCATGCATTGCAATATGATAGATTGTTGCAATGCAGAAGATTTTGTATGTATAAGGGACATATAAGCTTAAAATAACATTAATAGCAGGAGTATGAACCATGGGGGTATAGATTCAATAGGGAATGGGCTCTATGACAAACCTTGAGGGAGCAGATGCATGAAGGTTTGCAGTGCAGATGGTGCTGTGATAAGAAAGGTACAGCCATGGCCAAAAGTTTTGAGAATGACACAAATATTAATTTTCACAAAGTCTGCTGCCTCAGATTTATGATGCCGATTTGCATGAACTCCAGAATGTTATGAAGAGTGATCTTTGCCATGAAAATGAACTTCCCAAAAAAAACCCATTTCCACTGCATTTCAGCCCTGCCACAAAAGACCTGCTGACATAATTTCAGTGATTCTCTTGTTAATACACTGCCTGGCCAAAAAAAAAGGTCACCATTTGAATTTATATCAGCAAATACATAAAAGCCAATGACTGGATCATTATTACAGTCCTGCAACGTTATGCAGCAATAGAGTAAAGTCAGCTGAGTACCTGAATCTACTGAATGGCCAGGTTACACCTCCATCCGTCATCAATGGATTTTTTCTTCCCTGTTGGCATGGGCATATTCCAGGACAAGAATGCCAAGATTCAATGGGTTCAAATTATCAGAGTGGTTCAGGGAGCACGAGGAATCATTTTCACACGTGACTTGGTCACCACAGATTTGTGACCATAAAGTCATTGAAGGTCTCTGGGATGTGCTGAAGGAGGCTTTATGGAGTGGTTCAACTCACTTGTCAATACAGGATCTTGGTGAGAAATGAACACAAATCTGGATGAAAATAAAGGATGAGATGTTGCATAAGCTTGTGGAAACAATGCCATGACAAATATGCGCCATAATCAAAGCTAAAGGCAGCCCAACAAAAAATTCAAATGGCGACTTTTTTTTTTGGCCAGGCAGTGTATATAGGTGAGAGTGTTGACGAGCAGAAGGCTGGAGATCACTCTGCCATGCTGATTGAGTAAGAATATCAGACAGGATGCTTTAAAAGGAGGGTGGTGCTTGAAGTCATTGTTTTTCATCTGTTAACCATGGTTACCTGCAAGAAAACACCTGCAGTCTTCATTGCTTTGCACAAAAAGGGCTTCACAGGCAAGGATATTGCTGCTAGTAAGATTCCACCTAAATCAACCATGCAGTTCATTAGTTATAATGCTGAAAATTGTTTTATAATAAAAAATACTTTTTATGTGTATACTGCAAACAAGCCATCCAGCCTTGAACTCAGGAATATTATTAGTCTTAGTTGTAATAGTAGGCCTAGTTGTAATAGTAGGATAACATTCTGGGAACATCAGGAATATTGGAGACTTGGAACGTTTCCACACATTAATCGGAACGTTCCGTAAATCAACAGATATTAAAAAATTGCTTTGCAAACGCCGGGCTGCCTCTCTGAAGCCAATTGCCTCCACGTTATAATATGTAAAAAGAATAACTACTTTAATGTCGGAATATGTTCACATAACAGCGCCCACAATCCCGCTTTGACGGATTTCTTCAACGCCTTTGTATGCCAGGTGTTTTCCGCAGTCCTGCTGTTACACATAATTACATTTTGAACTGCCATAAATGGTTGGGTACAAGCTGAATTGCCTGTTCGGTGCCGTGCTGGGGTTGTTTTTTCTGGCCCAGGGCCACCTCTGGGGGAAACACTCGGAACCAATTCCGCTTAAGGAAAAAGTCGGGCACTGGCTCCGGCACTACCTTGGTGGAAACGAGGTAATAGATTACGTCACGTTCCCCCCCGCACGTTTATAATTTGTTGTGTTTGTAATCGGTGATCAACACTATGCCACATTGCATCTGCTCTACCTGTGTGTTTCTCTAGATGCTTTAAATAGAGCGCACAGCCGCTATCACCTTTCGCGCTCATCCCACACTCGTTCTTCTCCGCAGTTATTTTTTATAAGACTTATTAATGATCGCGTTTCTGAAAATACAGATATTACTTATTAATGACTGCGTCATCGCATGTTCCATTAGTTGGAATATGCAGGTAGCCAAGGTACTGTTTTAAAGTATGAGGATGCGCTGCTTATGACTGCTTCCCGGAATGTTTGACACTACAGGGCTACGTGCTGCTATTTGCTTTTAATTAACCCGAAACATGGCCAAACTGGGTCTCTGTTAATGCAGGTATTTGCAATAGCGAATAAAACCTAAAACGCTAGCTTTGCGCCAGCCGGGAATCGAACCCGGGTCGCAAGAATGGGAATCTTGCATGATACCACTACACCACTGGCGCATCTGTATATAGATTCCACCCACCTGCTGAAGGTCGGTGCTTTCATTACGAAACTGTAGCACCTCAGGTATTTTCTGTGACTCAATATATTCTGCCATATAAACACATGTAGTCATAAGGTGATTTGAAAACAAGCGACAGCTAAACGCCTATAGTTCATTAAAAGTGTCTGTCCCCAAATCGCCTTTCACCGCATTTCTCGGAGGGTCACACGATGGCGCCACTGCTACACTCTTCTACAAATCAGACGAAAAAAATAAAAGCTTTAGGCTGCCTAGTCTTATTTTCCCATGGTTACCATGACTTTCCTCCCTGTCATTATTGCGCTTGTTGTTTGTTTTTCCTCACTATTTTTAACAACTCCACTGTTCATTCACACATTATTTCAACACAGCCCAGCATGAACAGAACTCTGTACTCTTTCATAAACACATGGAGTGTTCGACTAATTTTCTGGCGTTCCTGTAAACAGCTGTTACTCATGAAGACATGAATAGTCTGGTTAACTGTATGTGTAACATTTACTGTCTCACCCTAAGGCCAGGAGTGGTGACTTTGATCATCCAGGGTGTGATGTGACCAGTACACATCTGAATTTAGTTCCAGGTCTTCAAAACAGCATATACTTGCAATGGTCCACAGGTTCTGGTAATCGCAGCTGATCCATTGCAAGATTCACCACAACGTGTACAGTGCAAAATTCGTACTCTGAATCCAGCACAAAGGATTTAACTTGTCCACAAATAGAAACCAGAAGGTTATTAGTTTTCACCCCATAAGACAAGATGCTGTTTTATCCTTGAGCAACTACATGTATGTGATCCAACATGATCACATCAGCCAGGGGAATGTTCAGTACAAGCAAGTGGAACTGTAGCATCGGGTGCATCAACAGAATCCAGGGATCACTGGAGGCCATCAAACCTGTAGCATATGCCAAGGGAAAGAGGTTAAATCTGCTTCCCACCGACACACCCATCAGAGGTCAACAATGTCCCCACAACAATGCACTCCCAGTTTAATCCACACTTCATCCACTGCCGATGATGTGCCTTCCATTACAGTCTCTTTAAACAGTCTTTGGTCTCTGTTGTTTACCTCCATTCAGATTCTGTTTGCCTGATTTAGAAAGCTCTCCAATGATAACATTGTCTATTTGTTATGCTGGTGGCCATTTCCTCGCAGCTAAGTGCCTTGAAATATCCTCCATTAGCCTGTGTGCCTCACACTGAGTCCCTGTAGTGCTCCAGTTTCCCTGCTCTCTATGCACCCCACGCCCCTCAGTCCCACCGGGCGCTAAACTGGGTCTCTGAATTTGCCACCTCAGACACACTACAAGTGATGTCTCGGCATAGAGCTCACCTCTATTTTTTCACAACCTCCGCGCTCATGAAGTTACAAACACGTCTCTCATATTATATGTGTATGACGTAGGCGGAACAAAATTCCGTTTTCTGCCAAAAGCTTAAAAAAACTGTTACATGTTGCTATGGAAACTACGCCGGTGAGGACATAGAGGTTTTTCAACGAGGTACACACCCAATCTACCACGCCTCCACTAACCGCGTCGGGTGCAACTCATGGCACCTACACCCACAGACACGTGACAACTTCCATACGACGCAAAACACCTGAAACCCTTAGGACATCTCTGGTAAGAGAGTTCGGGACCCCTCCGCGCCATATTGGAAACAACTGGTTGTAGATCACAGAACCTAGACGAGTAATGCGGTAGCCCCTACCTGTAGTGTTACTATCATGACCTTGTTTTGACGATACCGTTAAGAAAACTCTCCTCCTTCAAAAGTCTTTCACACCTCCTTCACATAACTTCTGTGGGTGGCACAGCCAAAAATCAGGTTTTACGTCTATTAGCGCTGCTTAGGTGTTATGTATTTTCGTCTGGTCAAGGTTTCTTATGCGCATTATTATTATTATATATATATAATAATATGTATATATGGCTGCGCGGATATCAGGCCATATAAAAATGCACAGCGACCTGCTTTTCCACTGTCACAACATCTGGGGCCGCAGGTAGAGAGTCAGACTGCAGTGCCCGCGAGCTGCAGCACGTCCAGCGCTTGCTCGAGCCGCTCACCTCGCGCCGCCACCGAGCGCGCTACATCCCCCCTACGCGGGCCGGTGCTCCGGAGCCCGCTGAGGGGAGGAGGAGGAGGAAGCCAAAGAAAGGGGGGGAAGGCTCAGCGTCGCGGATCCGCCTTCTGGATGCAGCAGAGCCATTTAACACTGCGGTCTCCGCCAGCCTCCTACGGCGTGGGGCGGGAGGGGGGGGGTGTTCACGGTATGGAGCTCCGCTCCCCGGCGCTGACAGCGGACCGCTGCCTGGACCGAGCGCTGCCAGTGATGGCGACACAGGCTCAGAGAGCGCCCTGACAGCCTTGAAGCCGTCGCTCGTCATAACGACTATTGGACATTTCGGGACATTAATTTTGTTTGCTTTTTCTATTTATCCTTTCGTTTTTGAGCGTAGAGCGTCGCTCAGCTCACACATCGACCTACTCAGCCCTTCTCGGCGCTCACCTTTCTGTTTGTGCTGGATGTAAGGTCCTTGCCGCTATCCATCTTTAAGATAAAAGCGGCCGCTCTCTTTCCGACATGCATCATGGCACATAGGACAGTCTGGGACCTCGTAACCGTACAGTACGTCGCTTATGCGCCGCCGGGGATCCGCAGTGCAATCGGGCCGTGAATCGTTTCGCTTTTTCTCCACCCCGGGAGTAGCCTTTTATTTCATTTCCTCCGTGCCGAGTGACACCACTCCCACCGAACCGGAGCATCTTTTATTATTATTTTTTTAATTTTATTTTTTTATTTTTTTACCCAAGACCTCACGGCTTTCACTTGTGCGCTTTGCAGCCCAGGCGCTGTAGGGGTGGATCGCAAAGCTTTCTGGGCTAGGCAAAAATACAGACAAATTATACACACGGAGGATGCATCGCGTGTGAAATAAATTAAAGAAAACAGGGTCAAGATGGGGAAAGATCAGGAATTGCTGCAAGCAGTCAAGACCGAAGATCTGATTACGGTGCAGAAGCTCTTACAGAGACCCAAACCAGGCAAAGCAAGTAGGTGACACTTAACTAATTTACTTTGCCCCATTTATTTTTGTTTGGGGGGGGGGGGGTTATCCTTCAATTTACTGGTATTTATTTATTTGCCTTTTCTATATAGGATAGACCCGGTGCAGTACGGCGTGGATGCGTGATACGGTGTATACTTGCCAGTAAAAAAAATATTAGGCTGTTAAATCCGGGTTGCAATAGAAAGTGGACATTTCTGCTCGTTTGGGGCATCATTGAAAGCCTGGCTTATCGTGCTTATGCTGCCCCATATCGTACTTTGGGGAAATGGTGTTAGGGTGCGATTGGACGTGCAAACGCTGCACGCTCATGTTGAGCCAATCGTAGGTGGAATACCATCCCGGTGCCAGCCCACTCTTACGGGATGCGCTAATGTGCGTTACACAACCGCGGCTGGCGTGCCCTTCCTTACGCACCGATCGCTCAGCGCTAGGTGAACTCAAAATAACGACCCTGGTAACTTGGAAATGATCGTTCTAGCATCTCATGTCATATGCTGGGTGCGGGAGGGGGCAATCACACGCCCATAGACTAGCCTATGAAAAATCACTGACACGAGGTTGCGACGAGGCATCGCTCGTAAAACCATTTCATTACCGTACTCTGGAGCTGCCAAAGGGGGCAAGGTGGGCGTGAAAGGCATCGTGTCAGACAGCTCAGCATGTGGGAATGGTCACTGTGTATGGCAACCTGTAAGACAGGTCAGCTTGTGAGACTGGTCATTGTGTATGACAGCGTGTACAACAGTTCAGCGAGTATGACAGTGTATAAGGCAGGTCTGCATGTGGGAATGGTTACTGTGTATGACAGCGTGCTAGACAGTTCAGTGTGTATGACAGTATGAAAGACAGGTCAGCGTTTGAGACTGGTCACTGTATGACAGCATGTTAGTTCAGTGTGCTTGGCAGTATGAAGGACAGGTCAGCATGTGAGACTGGTCACTGTGTATGACAGCATGTTAGTTCAGTGTGTATGACAGTATGTAAGACAGGTCAGCGTGTTAGACTGGTCACTGTGTATGACAGCATGTTACTTCAGTGTGCTTGGCAGTATGAAAGACAGCTTGTTTGACAGTTCAGTGTGGACAGTTCAGGGTGTGTAAAACAGGTCTGCATGTGGGAAAGGTGATTGTGTATGAATGTGTAAGACAGGTGGCAATGACTACTGTTAGACAGTTCGGTGCGTATGACATTGTGTAAGACAGATCTGAGTGAGAGTGGTCACTGTGTGTGGCGGCGTTTTAGACAGTTCAGCGTGTATATGACAGTGTGTAAGAGGTCTGAATGTGGGAATAATCACTGTGATGACAGCATGTTAGACAGTTCAGTGTGTATGATAGTGTGTAAGACAGATCTGCTTGTGGGAATGGTCACTGTGATGACAGCGTGTTACACAGTTCAGTGTATGTGACACTGTGCTGTGTAAAAAAGGTCTACAGTATGTGTGGGAATGGTAACTGTGTGTGAAAGAGTGTTAGACAGTTCAGTGTGTATGATCAGTGCGTACGACAGGTCTGTGTGCACGAATGGTCACTGTGTATGGCAGTGTGTGAGACAGTTCCATGTGTATCACAGCATGTTACCCAGTTTAGTGTGTATGACGGTGTGTAAAACAGGTCTTATTGTGGGAATGGTCGTCACTGTGTATGACAGCATGCACCCCCTTCTAGTTCCTGTGCATATCCTGTGCCCTTGACAGCATGAAAGACAGGTCACTGTACAGTATGAGACTGGTCATTGTGTATGACAGCATATAAGAGAGATCAGTGTGTAAAACAGATCACTGTAGAGATCATTTACTTTTGTTTGACAGTGTAAAACACATCAGTCTGCCAGACAGGTTTACTGTGTTACACAGTGTGTAAGGCAGGCAGGTCAGTGTGTGAGAGAACATGTAAGACCAGCGTGTAAAACAAGACTTTTAAAGCATGTAAGGCAGGTCAGTGTGTAAGTGAGTAAGACAGGCCAGTGCTCTCTTTTCTACAGCACACATGACTGTCTAATCAAATCCTTAAGCTAAGGCTTGTGAGATCATAACAATTCATCTGTGCTAAATGGGTTACCCTTTGGAGGTATTACCCTTCACTTTGCCATTTATAATACTTCATAAAAACAACATTAACATCGCTAACTATATTTAATATTTTTTTCTATTAAAAGAAGCCAGAAGCCTGTTGCGGGTTCCAGACAGAACCACTTGCAATTGCCATATTCTGCGGGGACAGACGTCAGCTGATACGAACAGGGACCTGTGAGATAATTGGTTCCCAATTAGGCCAAGGTCTGCTGCAAGCCTTTCTGCCGCCTTCATATAGCATCTTGGTGGAAGATAACAGCCGTGGAATTTAGGACAATATGAATAGACCAGTGAACCCCATGCGTTCAGCTCCCCTCACCCTGTGATGCCTCCATGAGCCACCATCGCTGATCCCTGGTCAGCTTAGACTTCCCAGAATCCGCCTTACCTTTAGTTGCGAGTCTCCGCGTCAGTATAAACACGTGTCTTGGGTCTGCTTTGAAAATGACTGCGTTGTTACAGCGGTTAAGGGTGCCTTTATTTGGGTAAGTGTTTTTTGGACAGCTGTAAATGGAGTATACCTGCTAGACCATCATGGAGAGTGCCGTAATACTTGTGCAGTGGTGAGGACTGCAGGGGGTGAGGTTTTGGCAGCACCGTACCCCTACTCTAGGAAGCGGTGGCTAGACGCAGTCGATGATGTCGACATCCAGAAGCCATACAGCCATTCTCGTCCCTCCTACAACAGCCAGCAGATGAATACTGCTTCCACGCGAGTGCATTTCCTGATTGTCACGTATGCTTTAGTAAGCAGACCCAGGAGAACACTGTTGCACCCCCAGAGAAAAGGCAGGTTATGACATCCTCCTTGTGTGATTGTTGCTCTGACGTGCTGTCGGGCGAAACCAGATCCTCCCGAGCCATCGTCTCTCACTGTCCCGGCCTGGAAACTGAGCCGGTATCGATCTGCTGTCCAAGCTCAGGGTACTTTCTGGCTGCTTCAGCCGTAGCATCGTTGACTGTGTCTATTAAGCAATGGTGTGCCAGGGGTCACTGTGTCACCCAGAGGTGCTGTTTAAAATTCATGTTTACGCTCCACCGACCACAGAACGGCGACAGTGACCTGTCCTGAACTTAAAAAACACTTATAAGTCATATAAGTCAGCGTAATGGTTTTCTAAGGCAGTGCTTAGATAATGCACTTCCTGTGAGCAAATGAAAGCTTCCTGTGACAAAGTCTCTTGATTTGCTGGGCTGCTGCTGTGGATAGAGTGGCAGCATGGGGACCTCATGTGCCTGTTTACGGGCCTGTCTTGTGCTCGCCGGGGGCCCGCCCCTCGTTCATTAATGCAGCTGACAGATGCTGCACACTGGCTGAATTACAGCTGCTTCCTGAATCCCCGGAGTAAGGCCTTTTTGTCTGCCTAAGACCCCATCTGGTCCAAGGAGGAGCATCTTTCATAGATGAGATCGAGAAGGTGCGGTCTTCTCCCAGGGTGGTGTGTGGTTTCCTTCACCATGTGTCCCTACAGGTGCTTACGAATGCAGTGGGGGTCAAATCAAAGTCAGCAATCCCCTAACCCTAACCCTAACCCTACAATCGATCACGACCACGACTCCCCTCTGTCACAATGCTGGCAAGCCTCAGAGGTGACAGCGCAGAGACGATTTACATCTGGATTTAATGGCAAGATGGACGACTTTCTCACTGTGGCCCCTCCCCACATAAATCCAGTGTTTTTATCTCAGCAGGGGCCTGTGCAGTGACTACACTCACAACAGTGCAGTAGATCTAACAGTGGATAAACTCACATACCGGCGAGGGGGAGCTACTCTTTCAGATAGAATTTTGCATAAACACAAGCAACTCAGTGCCTTCAGTATGTAACTGCTCCTCCTGGGTGGGGTCACCTGGAGCTCATTCCAGGTAGCACAGGTCGAAGGGCTTGCCTACACCCTGTAGGCATGCTACTCCACCACAGGGCACACAGTCATACTCTACAGGCAATTTAAGAATGCCAGGTAGTTTAACTGCACATTGGGCAGGCAGCCCGATTACCCAGCAGAACACAGTAACACAGAGAAAACATGCAAACTCCACGCACACACACAGTGCAGGATTCAAACCCATAACCTGCCAGTGTGAGGCAGCCCAACGAACCACCACCAATAGTTAATAGCAGATATTTTGCTTTATTCCCCTCTAAGATATCAACTCTGCATCTGTGTGCCGTCAATGAAAATAAAAGGGCTTAACTGGGGGAGAGGGAGCAAACGGGACATTTGGCAGTGAAAAAAATAATTATTCTGTCATCGATACCATCCTGTCCCCAAGTGGCCTTCCTGTCCTCATGTGGGTACAGCCCATTAAACTACTGACCCTGGAGCATTGCTCCCGTCCGGCACAGAGTGGCTCAGCCGCTGCAGGCCTGCAGGTGGCAGCTTTCATTACAGGCAACAGGTGGCGTAACGTTTAAGGGCACAAACTGAATTACCCCGGTGACACAAGCCTGAATTAACTCAATGACGCATGGGTATTTTTAGCAGGAAGGGTACTAATGCAGTTCCTGAAGGAACCAGTCACTCACCTGGTCCTGGAAGGGTTTTGCCGCTAACAGGTAGAGGTAGAAACTCCGTATGAGCCCTGAAGAGCTCTCCCACTCGTTATTCACTTCTTTGGTGTTTTGTGTCCCATGCTCTGACTTTCTATTGGCTGTGACCCCATATGCTGGATCCAGGTAGACTGTCCTGCCATTGGCTGGCCCGTTCCTGATGCTCCACAGTGGATGGATGGGTTGGAAAGGTAGAGAGGAGAGAGGCAGGCCCACTGGTTCCAGGGTGTCCTTCCTCACGATGACCGTGACAGCGCACCGGCGTGAATTAACAGCACAAGTTGCCCATAATCGATGTACACAGTGCACACATCCACGGCAACAAACTTCTCTGCCTCACGCTGGAGCACGGTGCTC